GTGAGGTTGGGAGGTAGTGAGTTGGGGAAGTGAGTGAGGTGGAGGTGGGTAAGGGTTGGGGAGAGTGGGGTTGGGGTAGTGGGGTTAGGGAGGTGGTGAGGTTGGGGGAGGTAGTGAGGTTGGGAAGTGGTGGGGTGGGGAGGTGGAGTGGGGGTTGGGGAGTGGAGGTGAGGTGGGGAGGTGGTGGGGTTAGGGAGGGCCTTGGTGAGGTGGGGAGGTGAGGTTGGGGAGTGGGTGAGGGTGGGGAGGGTGGGTGGGGTTGGGGAGGTGGTGGGGTTGGGGAGTGGGTAGAGGTGGGAGTGGTGGGGTTGGGAGGTGGGGTTAGGAGGTGGTGTGAGGTTGGGAGGGTAGTGAGGTTAGGGAGGGCCAGAGTGAGGTTGGAGTGGTGAGGAGTTGGGGAGGTGGGTGAGGTTGGGGAGGTGGTGAGGTTAGAGTGATGGAGTGAGGTTGGGGAGGTGAGTGAGGTTGGGGAGGCTAGTGAGGTTGGGGAGGGTAGTGAGGTTGGGGAGGGTAGTGAGGTTGGGGAGGAGAAGCGATCTGGCCACCATGAATATGTAGTGAACCATAAAACAGCCACCGACACGGGTCTCTCAGTGGCACTTACCCGGCTTCAGTATCACACTTACTTACATCACTTACACAAACACAGGTGGAGCTGTGTGTGTGTGTGTGTGTGTGTGTGTGTGTGTGTGTGTGTGTGTGTGTGTGTGTGTGTGTGTGTGTGTGTGTGTGTGTGTGTGTGTGTGTGTGTGTGTGTCACCCAAACACCACAGCTCGAGTTAAGGTTAGGTTAGGTTAGAGTGTACCGTGTTCATGTAAGTTAAATTAAGTTAGGTTAGATTAGGTTGATGTATTTACAGCCACTAGTAAATCTCTCGCCGGCGACCAATAGCAGTTTGTGGTCACAGTGCCGATGGTCTACGGCGCCAGGATTAATAGTCTCGTAAAACCTCAAGAATTCACTTAACTGATGACACACATGATAAACCATACATAGTGAACCTTGATGTCTTCTTCATGATAAACCATACATCGTAACCTGATGTCTCTCTCTCTCTCATGATAAACCACACACAGTGAACCTGATGTTCTCTCTCTCTCATGATAAACCATACACAGTGAACCTTGATCTCTCTCTCTCTCTCTCTCATGATAAACCATACACAATGAACCTTGATCTCTCTCTCTCATGATAAACCATACATCGTGAACCTTGATGTTTCTCTCTCTCTCTCTCTCTCTCTCTCATGTTTTAATATTTTGGGGTAAAATTACTTGTAGTAGTCATAGTTTAACTGTTTAGTTAGTGTGTGTGCGTCAGAGAGAGAGAGAGAGATAAGAGGCAGTATTATCCAACAATTACTTATTAATCAATAAGGTGGAGTGATAACATCTGTTACACCTGAGTATTCATCACATAACCTTCAGCTCGGCTACTAATAACACTGCTTCCACACACTTCCTAAATCAATTGTGTCTCCTAGATGGTGTTAAGTGAATGTATCTAGATAAGGTAGACTCCTAGCTGGTGTTAAGTGAATGTATCTAGTTAAGGTAGACTCCTAGCTGGTGTTAAGTGAATGTTTCTAGATAAGGTAGACTCCTAGCTGGTGTTAAGTGAATGTATCTAGTTAAGGTAGACTCCTAGCTGGTGTTAAGTGAATGTATCGAAGGTAGACTCCAAGCTGGTGTTAAGTGACTGTATCTAGATAAGGTAGACTCCTAGCTGGTGTTAAGTGACTGTATCTAGATAAGGTAGACTCCTAGCTGGTGTTAAGTGAATGTTTCTAGATAAGGTAGACTCCTAGCTGGTGTTAAGTGAATGTATCTAGTTAAGGTTAGTATCTAGTTTAGGTTGAATGTAACTTTATGTTCAATTAGCTTATCTACTTAAGCACAAAAATGACATCACAATGTAATCCAAATTAAACTGAGAGACTACCTGAGCCAAACACCTGTTGAGAGAAGCTAATCAACCACGAGAATTCTTACGGTTTATTTATGATAATTGGTTACATTAATTTAGAGGTGTATTGAGTTACCTTTGCCTCAACATAATTATGGTCATGTGGCAGATATTGTTGGTGATTGACCTTTGGATGAGAACGATGACCTAACCCCTTGAGTACGATGACTTAACACCTTGACTACGATTGCCTATCCTCTTGAGTTTGAAAATTTAAACCCTAGAGTACGATGACTTAAACCCCTTGAATACGATGACTCAACCCAGAGTACGATTGCCTATCCTTTTGAGTACGAAGATTTAACCCCTTGTGTACGATGGATGACTCAAGTCCTTGAGTAAGATTGATTAATCCAAGAAGTAAAGTTAATCATATATTAACAATGTGTTTATAAAGTTTGTCCAGTTAACAAGGACTGTATTCGAACAGAGAGTAACTACAATTCTTATTATGCTCACACCCGCTATGCTCACACCCGCTATGCTCACACTCGCTATGCTCACACCCGCTATGCTCACACCCGCTATGTTCACACCCGCTATGCTCACACTCGCTATGCTCACCTCAGTGTCTGTCTGTCAGTTAAATCGCCATCTAGCTCTTGTTATATTTCTTTACGAGTAATAAGTAATAATTATAATATTAACACACTAAATTAAATGTATTTTCCTTTCAGGTATGTTGATGTGTGGGAGAGAGGCTTCACCAAGCAGGTCCTGGTGAGTGGTGAAGCAACTTTTGTTTAATGGTGATCTCATGTGTTGAAGAGAAGGAAATATTACCCTGATACTGTGTATAATATTTGATGCCTGGCGATGCTGTGTGTGTGTGGTCAGCATGCTCGCCACGCAAGCGAGCGGACCCGGGTTCGATCCCCGGGCAGGGTGAAACTGTTGGTAAGTTTCTTTACGCCATTTGCCTCGCCTCTGTCTACCCAGCAGTAATTGGGAACCTGGATGTTAATCGAATTGCGGGTCGTGTTCGAGGTAATGGTTAGCCAGTGCAGTTGGTGAGTTGTCCGGTCTTCTCGGACTATTCCTGCAACTCGTTAACTCGAGTGTGGTTGTTGTGTTGGCGACAAGTTCTACAAATTCACGCCCAGGTAGCCCTTGGGCCGGCCATCCTCGTTACACGAGGGGCAACCATTATAGTGTGTGCGTGTGCTCGCACGCGAGAGAGAGAGAGAGAGAGAGAGAGAGAGAGAGAGAGACCAGACCTCACCTCACCTCACCACACCACACCACAGCACTGCAGTATTAGGTAACGCTGGGGTGGCTAGTGAGTGAGAGTAGGACATGCTGCCATTAACAGGCTGTTGAAGGCAGAATATTCCCTCAAAGATTCAGCCATTAACAGTCAGTTGGTCAGTGCACCAGAGGGCAGACGACCGGTTTGACACAACTGGACTGTCAGCCATCATTCGGCCAGGTAACGGCGCGGGTACAGCTCCTGGGTGGCGCTCACACCGTGTGCTTCCTCTAACTGGTTAGGTTATGATGGTTGGTGCTGTAACTACCTTCCACAGCGTACATGGTTAGTGACACACACACACACACTTACACAGAAATTACATACATTAACAAGCATCTACGATTCATTAACTACTTAGATTATCTACATATACACTAAATACAGCACATAGCATCTAGGTACAGTCATTAGGCATAACAGAACACATTACTAACCACGTATCACCAACCACGGCCTCATCCTCATACATTCCCACAAACTGTATACTAACCACGTATCACCAACCACGCCTCTTCCTCATACATTCCCACAAACTGTATACTAACCACGTATCACCAACCACGGCCTCTTCCTCATACATTCCCACAAACTGTATTACTAACCATCCCCAACCTTCCTCATCATTCCACAAACTGTATTACTAACCACGTATCACCAACTCTTCCTATACATTCCCAAAACTGTATTACTAACCACGTATCACCAACCAGGCCTCTTCCTCATACATTCCCACAAACTGTATTACTAACCACGTATCACCAACCAACCTCTTCCTCATACATTCCACAAACTGTATTACTAACCACATATCTACGACCTCTTCCTCATACATTCCCAAACTGTATTACTAACCGTATCACCAACACGACTCTTCCTCATACATTCCCCAAACTGTATTACTAACCATATACCAACACGACCCTTCTCCATACATTCCAAAACTGTATTACTAACCACGTATCACCAACCGACCTCTTCCTCATACATTCCCAAAACTGTATTACTAACCGTATCACCAACCACGGCCTCTTCTCATACATTCCCACAAACTGTATTACTAACCACGTATCACCAACCACGGCCTCATCCTCATACATTCCCACAAACTGTATTACTAACCACGTATCACCAACACGGCCTCTTCCTCATACATTCCCACAAACTGTATTACTAACCACGTATCACCAACCACGGCCTTCCTCATACATTCCCACGAACTGTATCACTAACCACGTATCACCAACCACGGCCTCTTGGCAACACTGAACAACTATCTTTGGTCAATCACTGTGGCGACGGACCCCGGGGAAGTCCTGCCCATAAATGGCTGCCAAGAATCCGACCTGACAGTCCTTGCACAGTCGACATACTTACTCTTGATCTTGCTTCAATCCTGGTGGTGGTGATCGGGGTGGTGATGATGATGATGGTGGTGGTGGTAGTGTGATGGTGGTGGTGTAGTAGTAACAGTGGTGGTGGTAGTAATGATGGTTGGTAGTAATGATGGTGGGCGTAATGATTGGTGGTGTTGTTGGTGTGTGAGACGGCGGGCTGGAGAAAGGATGGTGAAGGAGAACTGGTCGACACTCACTTCTCTCGGGGAAGGATGGTCACCTAGCCATCCTGTCCAGGTGTCAAGAGGTGGTATGGTCACCTAGCCATCCTGTCCAGGTATCAGGAGGTGGGATAGTCACCTGGCCATCCTGTCCAGGTGTCAGGAGGTGGAAAGGTACTAACCATCCTGTCGAGAAAGGTTAGTTGGTCATCGTGCGTGCTAAGTGTCTAGTTACCGTCCTTGTTAGGGATAGAGGCTGGTTTACCGCCCTTGTTAAGGATAGAGGCCAGTTTACCGTACTTTAAGGTCGGATGGTGAGAGGGGACCGGAGAGGCTGCCAGTCTGTTGTAATAAGAAATGAGATGTAATGTAGCACCAAAAGGGGAGGATGACAGACCCTCTAGCATGGGCAGGGTGTGGGAGGGGGTGTGGGGCTTACGTAGTCAGCCCTGAGACACAGACCAGCTGGTGCAGGAGGTGGGAGGTAGGAGGAGGGAGGTGGGAGGGTAGGAGGAGGAAGTGGTATCAGGGAGGACGGAGAACCACCACTTCGTCTGACTTTCTCTGGGTGAAGGAAGATCGTTATGGTTGTGTCGTCACTGTAGGGGGTGGACAATGTGGGGAGAACGCTGTAGGAGGTGGTGGACACTGTGGATCTGGACACTAATGGAGGTTTGGTCAATAAGGGAGGCTTGTACACTGTGGGAGGTTTGGACACTGTGGGAGGTTTGGACACTGTGGGAGGTTTGGACACTGTAGGAGGTTTGGACACTGTGGGAGGTTTGGACACTGTGGGAGGTTTGGACACTGTAGGAGGTTTGGACACTGTGGAGGTTTATACACTGTGGGAGGTTTATACACTGTGGGAGGCTTGGACACTGTGGAATGCTTGGGCACTGTGGGAGGCTGAACACTGTGGGGCTTGGACACTGTGGGAGGCTTGGACACTGTGGGAGCTTGGACACTGTGGGAGGCTTGGACACTGTGGGCTTGGACACTGTGGGAGGCTTGGACACTGTGGGAGGTTTGGTCTTCATTAGTACTTAGATAACATTGTTGACTCGACTATCAATTTTCAACAGTTAGAAGCGTTCATTGTGTGGGTGAGGAGGGTGGATGGGCAGGTTGTGAGAGAGGGAAAGTGTTTGTGATGGGATAAGGGAAGGGGCGAGGAGAAATAATAAAAAAAAAAAGATTGGTATTGGAAGTTCAAGTATATCCCAAAACTTATCACTCTTTATTATCGAACCCACATCCCGGACACACACGATTTACACGGACGGGCAGCGAGCATTCTTAAGTCTTCTGGGACGGCGTGGGATCAGTGTGACGCAGACCATGGGGGAGAGAAGGTTCGTCAAGTGTCTGTTGAGGGTGAGACGAAGACCTGTGCCAATAAAAAAAAGTCAATAAACGAAGCCGTGACAAGCAATAAGTCCCGTGTTGGAAGGCTAAATACTTGATTGGAACCGATTGGAAATTACTCTGGGAAGAAATTGATTTAAGATTAGGAACGATTAGATGATAGGCTTAGAACTCCTGAACAAAGATTTCTATGATTTGAATGGATTAGGATTCGATGTAAATGAGAAGATTGGGACTTAATTGTTGAGATTTGTGGGAAAGATCTGGAGGATTGGTCAGGAAGGATTCGGGGTAGAGACGTATGCATCAGCGTACCATACAGTGTGTGCCGCCTAGTAATTTACATGTTAACCAGGCTTCTCTAACTGTGTGTGGCTCTTGACCCTTGAGCATACTGCCTACCCTATCAGTACAATAAGTTTACAACCTATTCAGTAAAACATCTTTATCTCTAGAGAACGACGACTTAAACCCCTGAGGACGATGACAAGCCTAGAACGATGACTTAGTACAAGGCGATGACAACCCCTGGAACGATGACAACCCTAGAGAACGATGACTTAAACCCCTGGGAACGATGAGCAACCCTGAGAACGATGACTTAAGCCCCAGAGAGGATGAGCATAAACCCCTGGGGACGATGAGCTGGCCCTGAGCGATGACTTAAGAGCCCTGGGAGACGATGACTGCCTAGAGAACGATGACTTAAGCCCTGAGACGATGACATCTCCTCAGAACAATGACAGAAGCCCCTGAGGAACGATGACAAGCCCCTGGGGCGGTGACACTGGAACGATGACAACCCCGGAGACAGTGAGCCGACCCCTGAGACGATGAAACTTACCCTGGGAACGATGACAAACCCTGAGACATTGACAGCCCTGGAACGATGACAAACCCTGAGAACGATGACTTAAACCTCAGAGAACGATGACTTAAACCCTGAGAATGATGACTTTAACCCCTGAGAACAATGGCTTAAACCTCAGAGAACGATGACTTAAACCTCAAGAACGATTGACTTAAACCCCTGAGAACGATGACTTCCTGAGAACGACTTGAACCTCATAAAATGATGACTTAAGCCCCTCAGAACAATGACTTCCCCTGAACGATGACTTAAACCCCTGAGAACGATGACTTAAACCTCATAAATGATAATGACCCCTCAGAACGATGACTTAACCTGCAGAACGATGACTTAAACCCGCGAGAACGATGACAAGCCCGCGAGAACGATGACTTAACCCGCGGAACGATGACAAGCCCGCGAGAACGATGACTTAAACCCGCGAGAACGATGACTTACCCGCGGAGCGATGACTTCGACAGTGACTTAAGCCTTGGTAACGAAGTCATCAGGGAAATTATTCATCATACTTAGGTGAAGACAATGTGTTGCACCGTGAGGCAGTCATCACTCTCAAAAAGTTTATAACATACTAAACAGAACCGGAGAAAGAGTTTTGTTTGTTCATGAATACGGAACTCTCAAGTTGCCCCTGGTGACTCAATGACCCTGTATCGGCAACGGGTCGTGTAAATACACTTTCCATGGTGTGATACTGGACGATAACATGGCCGGGTGCAGTCTCTTCCGCAGTGACCCTCACCAGTTGCCGGACGACAAGCACTCTTATGTTCTGCCTGTCTTGGTGAGTGGAGCCGCTCTTCCTCTCCTCGATTTCTGTTGGAAGAAAGACAGAACCCATCACCCACCCCCTCGACGTTCAACTTTCGCACACACACACACACACACACACACACACATATACTGGTGACCTAGTGAGGCAGATAAGTCCTTCACCGGGCCGATGCTAGGCCGTTCCGATAATTGGATAATGGGTGGCTGCAGGAGTGGCAAATAACCAATCATTACACGCCGTTTATCAGGTGAACCATCCCATTGGTCATAATCACGGCTTCAAGATTAACGTCGATACTTCAGGGACTCGACACCAGATGATGTTGAATGCCGAAGAAATGAGTTAATCTTAGAATCTTCAAGTTAGAGGTGTTATGGTGCTGGTATGGTGAAGTTATGATGCTGGTATTGTGGAGTGTTATGGTGCTGGTGCAGGAGAAAAGCTGGTATTGTGAAGGTATGGTAATGCTGGGATGGTGAAGGTGCTATGATGCTGGTATAATGTAGGTGCTATGGTGCTGGGTATGGTGCAGGTATATAATGTAGGTGCTAAGGTGCTGGCATGGTGAAGGTGGTATGGCGCTGGTAGTTTAGGGTTAGGGTGGTGCTGGTAAGATGAAGGCTTAAGGTGCTGGTATGGGTGAAGGTGTTATGGTGCTGGCATGGTGAAGGTGTTATGGTGCTGGTATAGTGTAGGTGCTATGGTGCTGGATGGTGAAGGTGTTATGGTGCTGGTATTGGTGAAGGTGTTATGGGTGGTGCTGGTATGGTGAAGGTGTTGTGGTGCTGGTATGGTGAAGGTGTGTTTAGTGCTGGTGGGTGAAAGGTATGGTGAAAGTGTTATGGTGCTGGTATGGTGAAGGTGTTTTAGTGCTGGTATAGTGTACAGTAGATGTTATGTGGTGTAGGTATGGTGGCGTTGTTATAGTGTGGGTGTTATGGGGTGGTTAGTATAGGTGTTATGGTGGTGGTATGGTGTAGGTGCTTAATGATGGTAGTATGGTGTGGTCTATTATGGTGATGGTGTGGCGCACGCAAGTGGGTGATGGGGCCTTCATGAGCGGAGGAGGAAGGTGAAACTAATAATAATAATAATAATAATAATAATAATAATAATAATAATAATAATAATAATAATAATAATAATTAACGGTTTATTGAAAAGAGTCAGCCAGAAGGCTGAAAATATACAGTTACATATTTGGGGAATGGGTTTCAATTACAAATAATATACAAGTAACATAAGTGATACAAATAAGACATATAATAACTAGATGGGGAAAGCTCAAACTACAGTGCATTTCAACATAGTGACAGTGCAAGGAGTAGTGTTTACTGGGAGTGAATACACTGGTTTATTACAAGTTATTGATAATTTTACAATGGTTGGGACTGGGCTGTTCTTATAGCGATCAGTTCGTGCACGTATGGGCTGGATGCGGTTGTGGTGTCGAACAGCAATTCTCGGTTTAGGGTTCCAGGTGGTAGTAGGAGCCGGTGTGAGGATGGTGTAGAAGCTTGTGTGTGTGTGTGTGTGTGTGTGTGTGTGTGTGTGTGTGTGTGTGTGTGTGTGTGTGTGTGTGTGTGTGTGTGTGTGTGTGTGTGTGTGTGTGTGTGTGTGTGTGTGTGTGTGTGTGTGTGTGTGTGTGTGTGTGTGTGTGTGTGTGTGTGTGTGTGTGTGTGTGTGTGTGTGTGTGTGTGTGTGTGTGTGTGTGTGTGTGTGTGTGTGTGATAATAATAATTATTAATGGACTATTGAAAGAGCATGGCAGCAAGAAGGCTGAAAATATACAGTTACGTAATTGGGGAAGGGTAACTTGATTGACAAATAGTGTACAAGTGACATAAGTGATACAAATATGATATATAATAACAAGGTGGGGGGCCGGTCTTACTACAGGGCATTTCAACAGTGCAAAAGTAAGATTGGCTGGGAGTGAACACACTGGTTGACTACGAGTTTTTGATAATTTTACAATGGTTGGGATTGGGCTGCTCTTAAAGCGATCAGTTGTGGTGTCGAACAGAAATTCGCGGACGAGGATCTCGGGGTGGAAACAGGAGCCGGTGTCGAGGTGGTGCAGAACCTTTCTCACCAAATTTGCAGAGGAGGTCGTGGTGATGGTCAGAGAGCCGAGAGGGTCGATGTGTTGAGCGCTTCTTGATATGTGAAGTAGTAGGGGAGAGAATAATCTTGCACGCCCTCTTCTGCAATTTTTTAGGGTTTTGTTGTGTGGCATATGAGCGAGGAAGGCCAGACAGGGAAGGTATAGGTGAGCTTGGGAAGTATGAGTGTTGAGTAAGCACTGAAGAGTCGGGGGAATCTGGAGGGACTTCAGGATCTGAACAATTGTACTGGCGTGTGTTTTCCAATTTAGTTTGTTATCTATAATGACGTCGAGGAGCTTAGTGGAATCCACAACCTGGAGTGTGTTGGGGCCCAAAGTAATGGAAAGAGGTGGACGAGGTCAGGGGAGAGGTTGGTGTGCATATCATGGTCTTGGTATGGTTGATGGTGACATGGTTGTTGGTCTCAATTTTGGAAACTGTGCAATATATTCTGGAGGGCGCTGTAGTCGGGAGCCGAGTTGTTCACACTGATCCCAATGGTGGAGTCGTCGACATATTTCCAGTGAGCAGAGATTTCTCTTAGGGCATCATTGGTGAGCATGAAGAAGCAGTGGTTCCATCTTGGGGCTTGGGGACGCCACAGATGAGTGACTAAAAAGTGGAGACCGCCCTTCGTAAGCGTACGGCTTGGCGTCGATCACCAAGAATTTATGCCATGCTATAAGACTTCTCCGAAACCCGAGATCTACAGCTTTGTTGATGATTAATGTGTGTGTGTGTGTGTGTGTGTGTGTGTGTGTGTGTGTGTGTGCGCGCGCCATTGAGTTTTACTTGAAAATCCTCAAAATTGTCAACGATAATTTTTCCTTCGCCTTCCCTCGTCTCGCCGAAAGTGTGTACATACAGTACAGCAGTACAGGTGTCATCTTTACGACCTGTCACCATATACCCCCCTCC